TTGAATCAACCTGACATTTATTTTGATCATTCATTGATGCATGCTTCTAAATTAAAGAATGGAGAATTTGTGAAAATTCACAAGAGGATTAGTTTGGCAAAACCATACGATTGTGAGGTAAGTTTAGGAACAATTTATAAATATTTATCAAGAGAATTATAGAATGGACAAGGAACTATTCCTGATGGTGCAATTTTCAGAACCAGTGCTGATAAACCATTAGAATTGGGAACTGAACCAGATTGGAATGGACAATCAGTTATTTCAATGATTTTCAATGCATTCAGTGTTCATAATTGTGAAGTGTCAACAGCAATTACTGGATGGTTCTTGCACGATCCAACAAACATTGATAAGAAGGCAGAAAAGGAGGCAGAACTCAGAGAATTGGAACGTAAAAAACAGGAAAAGATACGACAAGAAAAGTTGGAAATGGAAAGAAAAATCAAAGAAGCAGAGGAAAAGAAGAAGAAAATGGAAGAGGAGAGAAAACTCAAAGAGGAGCAAGCAAAGAAGCAAAAGGAAGAGGAAGAGAAAAAGAAAAAAGAAGAAGAAGAAAAGAAGAAAAAGGAAGAAGAGGAGAAGAAGAAAAAAGAGGAGGAAGAAAAGAAGAAACTTGAGGAAGAGAAGAAACTCAAAGAGGAGCAATTAAAAAAAGAAGAAGAAGAGAAGAAACAAAAGGAAGAACAAGAACGAAAGCAAAACGAAGAGAAGAAACTCAAAGAAGAAACTGAAAACAAGAAACTAGATGAAGAAAATCAATCCAAGTCAACCAACAACTCTTCAATTAGTGCCGCTACCTCATCCAATCCTAAACCTGCCTAAATATAACACAAATTACTAGGTCAATAAATTCTTATTCCAATCGACTTTTTTAAATAGATGAACAGTCACCAACAACTTTGTGGAATACAAAGAAAGAAAGACTTTTCTGTTAAATATACCTTTTCTGGTGTGGAATTGGGAAGTTAATTTATGCTCTTTTTTCAACTTTCCATCCACTAATCTGTCATCTTAAGGTTCTAATAAGGAAAGAATGTAAAACAAACGCGCCAAATTCACCGTTGTGTTTTGTTATTAATACATGTACTTATTTGTTCTTGACGAATTCAGAATCAAACTCTTACTTATGATTCCTCCAAAATAACCAAGAAGAAAAAAGATTAAACACACATCTTCTGGATATTTGCTTTTTTCCTTCTTTCTCTCTTTACAACAACAAACACACCAATTTTGCAACCTGTCTTTCTTCAACACATTCCTAGCTGCAACAACCCATTTATTTGAAATTTCATATTTGGGTTATTCAAAGCCTTCAAAGAAAATGCAAAGAATTACCATCTCAATGTTTGATGATCATAATAATAATAATTCTACTAATTACCAACAAGGAGAAGGGAATTCAACATCCTTAACTTCACCTCTCACTCCTCAACAATATGCTTCACCCAATCAAAATTTAATCACTCCTCTCACACCAAATACTGAATTATTGAATAATGTAATCGAATCTTTAAGGCAGGTTAAAATAGATGGACAACAATACTTGGATACATCAAATTATACAGATAATAGTAATGGTGTTAATATATTTGGAGGAGTTTCATCATCAGCCATGAATTGGAATCATTTTGTGTCGAACAACATGTATCAGCAACATCAGCAAGTTGAGCATGCTCACATGATTCAGACAGAAGAATCAAACAATTTTCATAGTGGCAATACATGTAATTCCTCTTCATCATTCAGTAACAATGTAAATAATATCATCAAGGACAGCAACACTAGTAGTGATGAAGCAAGCAACTTGTTCTCACTCTTGGATGCACATAGAAAGATTCTTCTATTTGATAATTGGT